AACCCCACTCGTTGTCGAGACTTAGTTACTCTAATAGAACTATAGTCGGTATTTAGATTTAGGGTGTCAATCTCACTCATCATTAGGAACTTGATATGATATGATTCTAAAATTAACATGATTGATAAATACGTATAATAAATGAGTTCGATTAAAACTTTACACTTATCTAATAGATTTTTTTTCAATGAGTATTGACATGAACACGACATGAATTATACACAGGTTAATGACACAACGCAATATGAATTGACACCTTACTCAAATTTGAATTTAGATTTATTTTAATATATGGTGATTCTTTCAATTTCTTCGTAGTGCTCATTTTAGAATTGAGATCTATCTTAATATGTGATTCCTAAAATTTCTTTCATATTATATCACTTGATCATATATCTTATTAATTTAAAAGTGCCACAAGTAATTGAGTCTCTTCAGTTATTTTGATCTATTTCTTTTCTTCATATTCCAATCTTTTCCATATGCGATATCTTGATGAATATGACCCATAATGTTTGCACGATTGGGGAGGAATGGAGACCAAGGATTTAATTTTTGCTTGTCACCAGTTTTGATAATGGAGCACAACAAGTTAGAAAGTTCCACTGAGACATTGGTATGAATGACACTCTCTAAACACTATCATATCAAAACAATAGTTAAAATCTATACGCATGAGGGCCAAGTTTATTTTTTCTGGTCACTTATTACCACTATATAAGATATATCCAATGTATAAAATTCTTGCTTATAGCAAAATCAAAAGAGATCAAATGTTGGGTAATCTTATATTTCCAATTTTGAAGAGGTTAATTTTTGAACTCCCAACCCGTTTTATATCTTTTGGGTGAATGAGCATTTTTCAAATCTCTGAATCCAATTTAAATCTCTATTACATTTTATTAGATCATCACAATCTCAAATAAGAAAAAACATGTAATATATCCAACACACGATTGGGAAACCACTAAAAAGGAAAAAGACATGGAGATGGGATGCGGGAGGTACCTTTTGATAGGTTCCCTTTTTCTCCAATCCATGCAAGCTTTCAGACAAGAAGAAAAACATCAAAACTCTAAAATTGTTTCCTCTTCCAACCGTTTTTTCTTCTGCGCATTCTCACATTCTTCTGTTTTCCCTATTCTTTGTCAAAGAGATTTGAGAGAATGTTTCAAATGAAAAAAATAAACAAATCCCTCCAAAACACACCCACGAAAAAAGGCATCATCTTCTCCAAAGCTCAACACTTCTTTGCGGAAGCCGAAATTGAATCACCCATCCATTTATTCCACCAAAGAAGCCCTTCCAAACATTACCTTCCACCTCCCCCCTTAGACTTTCTTTCCCAACCTTTTTGAACTTCCTTTGCCTCTCTCTTCATATCTCCACCAAACCACACACCAAAGATTGGAGCCCTGCAACTTACCGTCTTGGACATTGCATGTCAGCTGCCGATTCTCTTCTCTCCTTTACTTCATATAAAAAACATGAGAGGGCTCAACAAATACTTGCATCCCGCCCTCATCTGCAGGTTACATTTCTTCCTGTGATGAAAAGGCAAAGCAACCATTTTCATGCATTCCTCCTTTGCTCTTCTACAGGAGCGGTTCAAGCAATTGCAGAGAATTAAGAAAATGCGAAAAGAAAGAGAGTACTTGAGAATGCTCTTTGAATCCAAACAAGTCAATCCAACCAATCGCTATGATCCCTCCAGATCTTTCAATGGTTGGTGTCTATCCAATGGTTTCAACAAAGCCACATTATTAGGTCAATAAATTATATCAGATTTTTAGATCCAAATAGCATTTTTTGCTCACAAAATGATAGATAAAAGAAGTAAGCTGGACAGGGTGAGAGATTCAAAATATTTAGTGGCATTCGCAAATACTATCATCCGATATACTTCAATTCGATAATCAAAATTTCGATGACTAGGGTGACTTGTCCGAAACATTTATGAGTCACATTTTTGTTGAGTAAGATTAGTGGTTTACGTGAAATATATATTAGTCTTAAAACAAAAAACACACCCAAATAGATACAATTCAACCGAATCATATAAGATATCGATCAATACTTTGAACCAACCATGGTACAAAAGCATGCTATAGTGGTTGATGTGGGGTTACCCAAGATTTCGTATTGAACAGAAAAAATCTAGGAACTAGATTTTCATACCTGACCATTTTCAGGTAAGAACTACAATATATTAGTGGAGGTTGACATCATATTATATAATCATAATTTGGCCAAAACTGAGTTATATAATTTGTCATGTTTTGGAAGGCTGCGCAGGTGCAAGTGATTGATGTGCGTGCTATGAATATTAATATATCATATTAACGTAAGTAGTTTAGCAGTCCGCAAGAAATCATTGTTACATTCATTTTTAATAATATTTTTTATCTAATTGCATTTAATAGTACACCTCCCCCGAAATTCAGCATGCATGAGAGTTTTAGAGTTAACACAAGTGTTCTTATAAATACCGTGGTGACGAGAGCCACGTTTTTATCTTAGCAATAAAGTGTGATACGTGATGAGTTGAACGATTTAATTTGAATCCCCTCTCTCTCCCCGTGGATATACTCTTGATATAATTTTGTATCAAGTGTAAGGATGTACCACGAATGTTGGGCAAAACAATAAGATCAAAGAAAATGACTCGTTTTTCTCAGGAAAGATGAATCTCCAGAACAGGGGATGCTGAAAGATGATCACTGCAAGCTTCTTGTTGGCATTCAGGAATTCTTGATTTAATAAGCTAGAGGATTGGATTGATTGGAGATGAGCCTACAAAAACCCAATCACAGAGACAGAGGATTCAATTTTTTTGTTGGAAAATTTGGTTTATTTATTATTCAAGATTAAGAAAATACATCAAACCCTAGAAGGGAAAAAAATTAATCATCCTATATTTCATATCAACCACCATGAACAAGGAACATGCATTGCTTATGATCTCCAATCAACAATGTTAGGAAATCATACAGAAATCCACCAAAGAAACGAAGAATGTAGCTGCAATACATGAACTGTACAAGTTTTAACGGCCGATTCCGGCAAAGTATTATCACTTGGAAACAGTTTACACTGTGGTTCACCTATGGAACTGCCTGACCTCTTTACCAGGCTTCCAAAACAGCATTTCTTTCCTTATTAGCAGAACTTTATCAAACCCTTCATCCTGCAGTCAACCAGCAGCCAGGAGCCACAATCACATAAACCTTTCCAAGGATTATTTAGATTTAATCCATGGGATCCACCTTGGATAGTGGACCATCCTTACAGTGCGCTGTTTCCACCAACCGAAGCATTCTTCCCAGATACTTCAGATTGTGTCAAAACCCATCCCCTAACATTCTGTCTCATGCACGGCCTCTGCAGGAAATGGATGTTTAATTATGCCTGCTGGGGACAACTTTTGGTACATATAACTACCCATGAAGATGAGAAACTAGCCTCGAGGCAAAGAAATGCATCCCCCAACTTGAGACATGGCTAGTGCATTATTCAAGCGAGTGTACGAGATGCAGTCGGAAGCATCTTCCAATGGGAAGTCAGGAATCAATTCGCAAGGTCCAGCCCAGCTGAATTCCAAACTGTGACTAAACTATTCAAACCCTTGTCTCATCAAACCACGTAAAGATACTTGATCAGCTAGTAGCGTAAAAACTCTTATAGAGCTCATAAACAATTGCCAAACTTGATCAACAAGGCATGGTATGACTATTAAGGCAAGTGAACTGCGATCAAGGATAAGACCACCGTCATGAAGATAACCAGCAAGGCTATGAAAGACATGCCAACTTATTCACCTTGATAAACACAAGAACAGGATGCAAGAATACATGCAGCAAGAAACAACTTATCAGAATACAAGTAGCATGCAACGACTTATCAAAAACAAAGATTTTATTAATAGTAAAATGGCTGTTGTACAAAATGAGAGCAGAGTTCAAAATGTTCACTTTCTGTGCAATTGTCTGCTCTGTTCAGTGTTCACTTTATGACTCAAAGTTTAGATCTTTCAGAAATAATTTTCTCAGTCAATAAGATCTCTTAAGAATTTTAGTCTGCTGTTAGTAATTCAAACATGGGGATCATACACACAAGCAAAAACTGTTAAGTCTAGCCAACTCTATTCCAGAATTGGCTAATGCAAAGATGGTAAACTGATGCAACCAGGTATAAATACATTGAATTACAAAAAGCAAACTATTGTTGGTAAACAGCTATTTAAATTCCACCATTGGGCACATCAAATAAGCCTTTGATTGTAAAGTCAATCAGTAAATTTGAAACAAAACTAACCAACTCATCCTCACTTAAAACCCATAACAAGATAAGTTATGGCTTGGCCTGGTGATATATGTATGGCTAATGCAGGGCTCGTATCCCATGGATGGCAGGGTAATTGGATTCGATTATCCCTCCTAACAATCCAAAAGAGAAGAGAGAAATACATTATCAAACAGAAAAACCCAGAAATGAGTTTGGGATCAGACTGACGTGCAAAAACATATTCAGCAGGGCACAGATCACTGAGCCTATGAATGTCTTCAGATCTTCTCATCACTTCCTAAACTCATAAACATACAATTTCATATTCAGCAGTGCATTTGCTGATCAATAGTGGGAAGATCATCATAAGAAACAGCATAATCAGCCTGCAAAAATAAATCATAAAATGACAGAAACTAAAGGAGGAGATAACAAACTACACAAAGGATCATTGTCCAGATAGACCAATCAGAAACATTGCCCAGTTTTAACCTGCAAATGATGCATCGGACAGGAGGATGAAACAGTGAACTAAAATTCAATACAAGTTTGTGTGTTTGTAATCTTAGAGAGAGTTTTTCTCATATATTTCCAGGAATGATATTGATAACAAGAAACAACAACTAAAATGACTTCTGGTGTATGTAAGGAAAATCTAAGTGATGGGCATGGTGTCAACTCAATGTCTATGATTGACAGAAACCTTGAAATACTTTCTAATCATGAAGATTTGCCAAAAGAAATCGCAACATTCCTCCCACCATCCTATATATGCTTGACATTTGACGGAGGACTTGAGGCCCAGCCATGACATCATTTGTATAATCAACACTCAAAACCCATAGTATCAGGGCATCAGCTCCATAGGAAAGTGCTTCCTGTCAAAAAAAATAGAAACACAATTGATCATTCAGCAAAAATGAGGTGTGATGATATAATATAACTAGTGACCAGTGACTAACCCCAGGTTTCTTCCCTCCTTCAATTTGGAGTTTTTGGATCTACAACATTACCCAAACATTTGCTCATTTTTAATCCTCTTTCATCCAGTACAAATCCATGTGTTATAACACTAGAATATGGAGCCTTTCCAGCAATATTAAAAGAAAATATGACAAAAAATCATGCAGCATCTTACTAACTTAAATAAAGCATAGTAGGCTGTGATTTAGAAATAGTTCAGTACCCAAAGTAGGCCAACGAAAGGATGGGCCTAAAACATACAATTTTTTTTTTTTAGTGATTAATAAAATGCTGAGTCAAAAAAAATTAAACACCTACCAAGGAAATCTTCTTCCTTACTACTGGCAGGCCACTCTGATCCTGCTGCAGCACAAGTCTTCCCCCCAAAGGAAATGGTTCTGCCAATGTAAGGTCAATAGAAGACCTCAACTGGACTGCATAATTGGCCAGAAAATCTGCCATAGCATTTGCCTCTTTGTACACATGGCAAATCTGGTAATCCAAGCTCCTAAGTATGCCCCTCCGGATTCCTTAAGATCATGCCACCACCAGAAAGAAAGCCCTTTTGCAGCTCCATCTACATTCAGTTTAAGCATATCAGCAGGAGGAGGAAACCAGTTCACCCAAACTGCCCTCATCAGCACCTTTTATTTCACAAACACACTCCAATTCTGCAGCAAATACTTCTCAGCAGCAGAATCTGATATTTTGGGCTTCAATCCAAAAGCCTGATACCTAAGGGAACTAAAGATCTGCATAAACAGTGAATAAGCACTCAGTTGCACCCCTTCAAATCTCCTCCTGCACCTCTCTTTCCAAAGAGACCAATAAACAAGCATAGAGGCACTCCTTCTTAACCCATGACTTAAGGATTGTAGCTTGAAACTTCTACCAAGCCTCAGCAGTCTGGTTAAAGGAGGCTCATTAGAAATGAGCTTAAATCCCATAACAGGACTACCCTTTGCCAAACAGATAGAGAAAAATCACAGTTAACAAATAGGTGAGAAATGCTCTCTGAATCCTTGCAGCAAAGACAGCACCTGCTTACCAATGGAACCCCAATACTCTGAACTCTATCATCTACAGACAAGGCATTCTTAAAGATTTTCCAAGCAAACAGCTGAGCACTAGGGGATACCTTTTGTCCCCAAATAGCCTTAGCTACTTCATTCTGCAGATCATGTCTCCTTACTAGCTCCCATGCAGACTTAATCAAAAAATCCCCAGAAGCATTGCTCATCCAAACCCTTCTATCTGCTTTATCAGTTACAGAGACTCCAGACAGCAAAATCTCTTCCTTCAACTGAGAACCCAATATCCCAGACACCTCATCCAGCTGCCATTGATCCCCAAAGAGAACCTCAGAGACCTTGGGAAAAGAGACGGGCATACTATCAATCCTAGACAGCAAAGGGCCCGACTTTAACCAATTGTCACACCAATAGTCTGTCTGTTCACCATTTCCAATAATCATACAAGAATAAGCACTCACAAACTCAAACCAAGGCTGCAACTCCCTATAACATTTTGTCCCTTTAGTAATAGTGCACGTCAGCATATGTTTTCCTCTCAAAAACTTACTCTTGAATACCTTTCCCATTTAAAATACCCCACATTTGCTTGATCCGGAAAGAATCCTGCATATCCCCAAATCTTCTGATACCTAGGCCACCATCCACCTTAGGCTTAGACAGATTCCCAAGTGAGACCCAATGTCTCCTCCCGACATCCAGCTTGTTGGACCAAATGACACCAGCAATCAAGGAGTTAAGCTTCCCCAAGATACCTTTAGGCAGGTTCAAGCAAGCCAGCAGGTGAATTGGAACAGCACATAAGACTGACTGCTGGTACAACAACTCGAGCTGCACAGAAATGGCTACAGCATCACCCGATTGTGGGGGACCAACCAAGTCCTCCAAACAAGCCACACCCTTTCCCTCAATCAGCAATCACTCCGCCCACCATAGATTTATCTTTCAACGCTCTAATACCAAACTGTCACGGGATAACACTCGTTTTCAACTTTTCTGGCAACAGAGGCTACCCGTGAGGGCGTTGCTTCAGCAACTAGCCATACAAACACAAATATGGGACACATACTCAGACAGGCACAACACATGAATTTACAGGGAAGACACTTCCATACCTTATGTTGATTACTCATATAAATACAAGGAAACTCAAATCCGACCAAGGACTCTCTGCTCCTACAAATTTTCATGGCACCCCCTATTTATACAAAGGCTGTGGCAGTTGACACCCCGACTGCCTAGCATTTATTGGCCCACTGGCCAGTCAGTAACGTAGGCATGGTAGATTTCCAGCACCACTACCATGCCAGGCTGCTTCTCTGCTCAACAAGTAACAAACGGTTACACCAATTCAGCACCTAACTTGGTAGCTGCCCATAACTGCTCGCCCATGATCAGCTTGGGGCTTGAACTGCCCTCAATTGCCTGCCTTTAACCAACTCATGCACAACAACTTTCCATAACTACCTGGTCACATGCATTGACTCATCATGTGCCAGCCATGTGCCCACAATTCAGCAGCTTAACCTTACCCACAAACCATCAAGCATGCTGGGTCAAGCCCATGTCATGCAATTCGAAGCCATGCACCAACATTGCCTCAATTGAGCGCACCACGTGCTACTATTCTCAACCGTGTGGTCTTTTGTAGCTACAAGTCCCCACAATTTGTCTGGTCTTCACATCTATCTCGCGTTCCCTTGTCTGCCTTGCCCCCACCAATGCAAGTGCATCCTAGGGCCATGCCTTGCTTGGGCGTGCCAAGGCTAGGGGGTATAAGGGTCACCAGTCTGGCACCCCTTCGCGGAGCACCCAATAGCTCTTAGAACGATTTCTACAGGGGCAGGAACAAAAATCTTCTTTACTGAGGAATCATAATGACAAGAGCCTAGGGCATAGTGCCTGGGCTTTTGTCGAACACCTTAGCTGCACTCACTTTACTTTAATCTCATGGAGTGCCTTGGTGCAAGGTGTCACCAAGATGCTTCCATTTTCCGGCTAAGTCAAATAGGCTGCGACAGTAGTCGTTTTTTTTTTCACCAATTGCAAACCACGAAGGTCTCAAACGATCTCTAAATCCTATTTTTTTTCTCCTTTCTGTATCCACATTCTTTCCGATCCAAGCAACAACCACAAAAATTCATATCAACAATTGCTTAGCAAATAAATAACATCACTATTAGAAACATGGGCGTGTGACCCATACCTATCACCATCGCCGACATCAATCACAAAGTCTCCATCTCCGTCGACATATATATAAATAACTTGCATATGTTGATATAAAACTGATAACCAAATAAATCAAAAAAAACACATAAATCATCGCGGGAGAGCTCAAATTTAAAATCTATAGTTTTTGACATAGATGTGGGTGGAAAAAACGAGAGCAAGATTATGGTTCTCTCCCCAGTATGCTCCTATTAATACTAACTCCACTACAAGGACATGAATAACCTCCAATGATAAACACATGCAATGCACACACACACGAGGCACACAAAAACAAACCCACAAAGATGCGTTGATAGAAAAAAAAATACACAACACACTAATATACAGAACAACACACACACACAAAGTATACAAATACATTGATTAAAGAAAAGTACACAGTAGACACAGAGATACACGTAATAAAAACACACAAAAAAATACGCTATTTCACACTAAAAGTATATGTCATAACACACCAAAAGATATACACATACACTATATAATAATAAACTACATAGAAAAACGCACAAAGCGTAGATATGAAAATAGACACAAAAAACCATTGACCAAAGAAAAATACATACTACACACTGATACAAACTTTTAAACACAGACAAACTATACACATGAAAATACAAACACAATCATTGATAAAACATAAAACATATACACACAAAACTCACTACGTAGGTAACCATGCATGTGCAAGTAATCATTAACTCCACTAATTACAAACCACAAACATGTCAAAGAACATCTCAACGAAGAAGAATCATCAAAGAAAGAGAAGGGAGCAGGATATTCACCTATAACTTGCATATGCTGATATAAAATTAATCACCAATTGTATACAAAAGAACATATAAATCAGATTTTACTTGCGGGAGAACTCAAAATTAAAATGTATAGTTTCTGATATACATTTGGCCGGAAAAAAAAAGAGCAAAATTATGGTTTTCTCCCGAGTATGCGCTCCTATTAATATTAACTCCACTACAAGGACATGAATAACATCAAATGATAACCACAAAGCACACAAAAAAAAAGCCTATAAAGATGCATTGATAGAAAAAAAATACACAACACTCTAATACATAGAAAAACACACATAAAGTGTACAAATACATTGGTAAAAGAAAAGTACACAGTACACATAGAGATACACATAATAAAAACTCACATTAATACACAAAAACACACTATTTCACATAAAAAAACACATTCCATAACATACCAAAAGATGCATTGATAGAAGAAAAATACACAGCATACTAACATACAAAAAACATACACAGAGTGTACAAATATATTGATAAAAGAAAAGTACACATTACACACACAAATACACATAATAAAAACACACATTAACATACATAAAAAACACACTATTTCACATAAAAAGTGCATACCATAACACATCAAAAGATATACACATACACTATACAATAATACATCACGTAGTAAAACCCATAAGTGTAGATATAAAAACATACACACAAAAAATCATTGTTAAAAAAAAAATCTATACCACACACTGATACACATTTTTAAACACGGACAAACTACACACATGAAAATACAAACACAATCATTGATAAAATATATACACACAAAACTCACTACGTAGGTAACCATGTATGCGCAAGTAACTATTAACTCCACCAATTGTAGACCACAAATATGTCAAAAAACATCTTAACGAAGAAGATAAAAAAGAATCATCGAAGAAGGGGAAGAGAGCACGATATAACCAAATGAATACAAAAAACCATATAAATCAAATTTTACTTGCGGGAGGATTCAAAATTCAAATCTATAGTTTCTGATATAGATTTGGCCGGAAAAAATGAGCAAAATTATGGTTTTCTCCTAGTATGCGCTTTTATTAGTATTAACACAAAGCACACAAAAACATGCCTACAAAGATGTATTGATAGAAGAAAAATTCACAGCACACTAAGATATTGAAAAACACACAAAAAAGGTACAAATATATGGATTGATAACAGAAAAATACACAATATGCATTGAGATAAACATAATAAAAACACAAAATAAATGCACTATTTCATATAAAAAATACAAACTATAACATCCCAAACGATGCATTGATAGAAGAAAACTACACAGCACACTAATACACAAAAAAATACACACAGTGTACTAATACATTGATAAAAGAAAAGTACACAATATACACAGAGATACACATAATAAAAACACACATTAATATACATAAAATATATTGTTTCGCATAAAAAGCACATACCATAATTCGTCAAAAGATGCATTGATAGAAGAAAAATACACAAATAAATACACACAAAGTGTACAAATATATTGATAAATGAAA